GAAACAACTTTTTAAGGAAATTTTTCTGCTCTATTAATATTTTCGCAGTGGTTGAAATTTGATGATGCTATATTAGGAGCCATTTCTAGTGGAAGTAAAATATGCGGAGGAATTGTTTTTATCTTGGCAGAGAAGTCTTTCTTATTCTATATAGGTAGCGTATAGTTTTTTTAAGGAACCCTTATTGAAGCATTTAACGGAACCTCATTTATAGCATCTCGATCGATAATAACAAAGTTAGTTGACGAGAAAGATTTAGGTAGGTACATTGATGCTTTTGTAAATAATTGCGACCATTATTTCTTTTAAGGTAAAGTGAATTCTTTACTTGGGGTCGCCGAATCTATAACGATTTTGTTATATGTACCTGTGTACAGCGCTCTCTATACAGCGACACTTAACATATTCTCTGCGTCATTTTACGTTGGAATTTTCTTGACGATACCTGCAATCTTGTTGTATTCGTAAGTTGGATAACAATTTTAATCAGTACAGCTTATATCTTCCTTTAAGGTGGCTGTATTTCAACAGAAACAACCGTTTTATGGGAGAAGAAATGAAAGTTACTGAATATGAATCTGTTTTACGAAGGGGCCAAAGTTAGAAATGAAATATCCTGTGAATATACTGGAGCATAAATACAGTTTTTCGTTTATTTGTACTTAACTAAAGGATTGTGGTTGAATTGGAGATGGGAAGTGGAAGCAATACCTCCGGATTTTTTAGGTACTTTTCCGTATTAGTATTTGTTATTTTTGTCACAAAAGGGATTCTCTGTAAAGGTCGCTTACAGGTAAGAGATTTCTATGACGTTTATATACAAGCGTTAACTCTCTCATTTTTAAATTTCTTTCAAAATCATTTTTTACTCAATTGCATTTGTAATTTTATAATAATCTTGTATGAATGCGTTGATTCTTGTACTAAGATGCATCACCTCACCACGTAAGCACCAATCTTTTATCATGTACCAATCCATTACTGCCTAAATTTGAATTTAAATTTACTTTTTATACAGGCAAATAATTTAAACTAACAACAATTTTTTATCAAAATATGTAGGCCAACCGCAGTTTTTACACTCGGCAGCAAAAAATTAACAGACACGCCAATGGTGTTGTCATTCTAGCGCCCCAAAGAATTATTTTGGTCTCCTGCGACCCAATTTTTTTGACATATTTAATTGGTCCACCCTGTATTACTTTTGCAGTTACCATATTTTCGTTGTCCATTTTTTCAAAATGCTTAAAACTGGACGATTCACTCATTGGAATAATATCAGGCTCAAGCAAAGCATTATCTTCGCTAGTCTACGCATTTGCACCAAATACTACCATATTTTATTTGGGTAAGGCAATTAAATAAATGCGGTCTTCTATTGAAATAACTCTAGTATATTATTATAGGGACGATAATGGAATCTTTCAGTGGTACGTCGTACATAGCAGTAAAGTCTTTGATTTCCAAGTTAGTCGAACCGGAAGAATTAGGTACGTTACCTATTTGTCGCTTGTTTACTGTTTACAAATTTGGATCACCTTATCATACTCTAAGTAGAAGATAAAGATGGACAATAGTACTACAATTACGTCACGTATCTACTGCGTTAAAAGTTTATACTTCGAGCCAGATTTTGAGGTAACACGGTATCTCTAATTAGTGACAATGAAAAAATTTAAAACTATGGAATTGTATCCAAAAGCAAATCCAATTTCAAGACCAAGAAAGTGTGGTGTGAGTGGTTTAGGTTTTTGTTTACGCTGAAATTGGCAGGATCGTCGTAGATAATATCACAGTGGCTCGGGTTCTAAAACATTATTTAGATCTCACATGGTGCGGTCCGAACTTAATTTTTAATGACAAAACGATAAATCAATAGCGCTTGTTAGAATTTTATTTATACCAGCACTAATTTTAGGTAAAGTGTATTCGTTATTTGGTGTTTGTGAAGCGCTAATGCCATTGGTTTACGGGCCTACCTATACCATGTTGTACAAAGCGACGATTAATACCTTACCTGGTGCATTTTTTCTTGCAGGAGGATTGATTTCTCTCCCTTCCACTCTCATGTTTTGGTACGTAAAACAATAAAGGGAGCGCTTTCACAACGTTTAATGTTTAGGTGGCTTTACACTGAGCATAAGAAAGACGCGAATCAGGTAAAGGAGATGGTACCTTTACGAGAAAAGTGCCCAAATACAGAAGATAATATAACAATTTCGCCAGCCTAACTGCAACTACTGAATTAGAAAAGAATGGAGAAAAACTGCACCAATGAGGATTTATTTATCACATAATACAATAGTCAAACCATATGTACTGTGTTTTTGCCACTTATTAAACACTAGCTCATTGAATTTTTTGAAAGAAAAAAAATGAGATTATGTGATGGTTTTGTTCGTCCGTCTGTCCATCTGTTGCTCGTCTAACTTCAAAAGTCTGATTTCCGAATACAAACCGAGTGAGAAAAAATTCCTCCATAAGGAAAATGAACGCTATTGTCCGCACTTTGTCCGTCTGTCTGTCATAGCCAACTACCTACTACCAGAACAGCCTGTTCATTGAAATGTAGATTTATCTCTCGTTCTGCAGGTTCTGCCGTCCCGCCGTGCTTTGCCGACCCTGAAAACCCGCCTTCCTTGCCTTTGATAAATAAAAACAATGCTATTAGTTGAATTAGATACGGCTATTAAAATAAATAGCATCCAATCCAACCAATGCCTGGTATGTCATTGATTCAAGTGTTGCTAATTGGATAGGTGGCCATAAAATTTTAACTTTTGTTATGGGTCATGTAATCTCTTTGATAAGCGTTTTACTGCTATCAGCAATGTCATACAAAGTCCATTCATGACTTAAATCCATAATCAATAACATACTGATACTTACCTATTCCTATTATTAGCAGTTTGCAACAACAACTTATTTGACAATTAGGACGATGAATTTAAATACTACAGAATGATTTAGTCTTCTGTGTACTTTCGATAAAGTACCTACAAAAAAATTATGTGACTGTAGAAGAGGTCTTAACCTATGCCTCGGTTCAAAACTTTATTTAGTTTCACTCCAAAAATTTTCGAAAAACTGTCAAATTTTGACAAAAAAAGGTTATAACACGAAATTGTTAAAGTTAGGGGTATAGGTAACATGTTATATAAAAAATAAGTATTTTTCAAGTAGGTACGGTTCAAATCGGTAATAAAATATGCGGTGTTCCATTAAAAAAAGCGCAAGTTTGATACGCTACTTGAATACGGCACGCCCTTGGTGATCAAAAATATTTTAGAAACATGCTGGTGGTAATTGCGTACACTTTTGCTCTAAAAGACTTTGTTCGGTATCTTATGGTAAATGAATTATGATCTGAGGGATCTTAGGTGTTTCACCTTGTACACATAGGTACTGTAGGTTCATTAATGATTACCACATTGGAATTGTATTCTCTACTTCGAAGTAGTTTGTATATTCATGTGATGCAATTTTAACATTCCTACCATTTTGCAGACTAGGTAGGTACCAATGTCATGATTCCTATACTATATCCAGATTTTGCGAATGGTCCAGAATGCGGTCGCTGGCGTTTATTAGTAAATAAGTGAATCGATAGTCTTATCTAAATCGTGTCACTATAAATCGACGGTTTCTATCTAAAGTAATAAACGAATTAATTTTATCACACCATTACTGTTTTCAAACGAGAACCGCTAACTCGTAATATGAATGCCGCAAACAGACATTTTAGTGTAATCTTCGATTGCATATGAAAGAAATTTGTGTAACAAGTCTTATCGCCGAATCCAAAGGCCGCGTTTTTGAAAAAAAATGCCGCAAAGATGTAAGACAACAAAGTTTGAATTGGGACCGATAACGTTTTCTAAAACAAAAATTGCCGTACGTGCACTCATAAAATCTTCGAACAAGTTCTTTACTTTTAACATTTTTATTAGTTCATAAGAGTAGAGTAGAGATCACTCAAAGCTTTCTCAGAAGGATTCTTCAAAGATCAACCAGAAATGTTTCCCCGCTACTTCAGAAATTCAGAGATTCTTTCTATAGTTCTTTCTAAATTATTTGTGAGATCTGAGAGATGCTCTCTAAAATCTTGGTGATTTTACAGATATGCACGTTAAATAATTCAACTTGGTTTACCGGCGAGTTTTGTTTAGTGTGGGTTAGATGGTATGTTAACCACCAAGACATTTGCGGTTCTAGTCTAGTAAAGTCTTACTGCCACTGTCATGGAAACTAAACTTTGAGGCACATGAAAATGAAGGTTTCATAACGATTTCTGGAAATAGTTATTTACATAAAAGTTAGGAAAATGACACATTACCTACTGGCGAGGACCCAGGGGCCGAGTATTATAATTTCCGAGTCAAATAATGTTTGTATTAAACGAAACGAAGTTTTGTATTAAATTTTACTCGAAATCGTATTTTAATATAACATTTCAATTTGTATATAAAACTTTTGATTAATGTCAATCTGTCAGTGATGACGAGAGGCATTATAGAGATTACAAATGTCACAAATGCGGCCGGAAAGTGATAGCGGAGGCCATCAGTAAAGTGACAAGCGGCAGAAAACTCTGCCTCTGTCATGGAAACTCAAATTTCCTGACAGAAAGTGGGCATGAAAATGAAGGTTTCAAGACGATTTTGGGTAAAAGTAGTCTGGTAAAGTTTTACTGCCCCTGTCATGGGAACTAAAATTCCCTGACATAAAATAAAGTAGGGCGCAAATGAAGGTTTCATTACGTTTTTGAGTAAATTTAATTACTCTATGAATCACTATAGTTTAAAAGAAATATATTCGCACTGCATGCAGTGATTACAATCTTAGTACTAATTGCCTAGTGTTTATATTTAAATCATCCATCAATATGTCAGTTGATTATTCCTTATCCTATCATTAGATTAGAGTTTTTTAATAAAGTGCAAGATTAAATTAATCTAAGTGTGTATGGTACTCATACATTTCATATGGAAAGTCAAGTCTTTCCTACCTTAGCGCGTGTTAATCAAACCAGTATATACATCTTGAAAAGAGAAGGTAGAATGAAAATTTTTTCTACAACACTCAATCGATCCTTGGTTTAATAATCATTTAATGTCTACGTTCGAACAAAAATAAAAAATTCGCTTAGCGTTTTCGCAGTGCATATACCAAAAGTACAAGCTTTATAATAGTGCTGAAATAATTACTTCTAGGGCGGAAGACTTGTCAAGATTAACAAAATGTAGTAAGTAGCTTCATCGCTAAAAAGATATCCAAGTAGTGTGTAGTGTTGAGGAAAATATTAATGCCATTAATCGTTTTTGCCACCTCAGGAAAATAGGTAGCTATATACAAATATCACAGTTGTGTTAGAGTGTGTAAGATAAATCTCTTGGTGGGCCAATACCTAGTACGAAATCTACAGGTCGAATTGTCGGAAAAACGATGACTCAAAACTTACTGGACCAAATTGCATAAATTTTTGAAGCTTTTGCTGCTTGCAGACGTTAACGATTAATTTCCATATCAAATTCTGTGTTTTTTATTGATGACTCGATTTTGGAGAAATTTTAACAGTAAGCGCCTGGACAGGCATAACTTTCTTATTGCTGGGCCGAATCTTTAACAGTAGGTTCTGCTGCTGTCTAATGCAAG